TCATCGAGTTGTTTGATGTCTATGTTTTTTTCAACCCTTCTCGAAGGATAAAAAGGCTGCTTTTTTCATGGAGAAACACCGAGAAAAATCAGATTTGTTTAAACGGAGAGACCTGTTTTTTCTTGTTAGTTTCAGAAAATACTCATGGCCAAGAAAATGATTTCTGACGCTGAGTAAAATTTTAGATGTGACTTTTAAAATTCCTGTTAGTGATTACATTTCTGTGGCTATCTCGTCTAAAAAATTATTATAAAGAATAAGAAAACTTAGGATGATACGTGTCCTCATGTTACTTTTGGTTGATACAGGAGGTAAAACACAGACCAATACCAATTTTCTGTTGATTTTATAACAGTTTGAGGGGAATTTAGAGCAGAAAACAAGAAAACGTCTGGTAAAATGCAAACCTCCGATTGTGACGTTGTTTTTCACCACTCGTTTTTTATTTAATATCCTCAAGAAAACTAGCTGGCATTTTCTATTAAAATTGTTGAAGGCAAGTAAAAAACTTTGGGAAGTAAAACACAAAATGACCCTAGACCGTGAACAATTTCGATAGAAAATGCCAGCTACTTTTCTTGGAGAAATTTAATAAGAAACGTGTGGTGAGTATACAACGTCGCAATCGAAGGAATGTACTTTCCCAGTCCCTCCCTTGTTTTCTACGCTAAATTCACCGCGAACTGTACCAAAATCAATCGACAATTTGTTTTAGTTTGTGTTTCACTACATCAACTAAAAGTAACACATAAGAACACACATAGTTGTATCTGTGTACTAGCGGTATATGCACTAGCCACGAATAGCTGTAAAATTTACTTCGGTTTTGTCTCAGTTCAATTTTGAATTGAAAAATATTAATTCCGATGAGACAATAGAGAAAGCTCTCAAATAAGGAGAGAGGACTCGGACACGAAGGAGAGAGAGGAAAGAGCGTTAATGAGATGGAAATCATTAAGGAAGAGGCAGAGGGCGAAAAAAGACGGGAAAAAAGGAAATGTGTCGGAGCCTGACTCCTGGACTTTGCGGTGCAGCGTCTTCAAGCTCGGAGAACTGAATTATCGGCTCCAACTTAAAAGCTAAAATCATAATGGTTTTTATTGGATTTAAAGACGATTTACACGGGGGAATTTATTACATTAGCATTTCAGCTATTAATTTCCTCCTTATAAGTGGTGGAACGGCGGACCTTTTTCTTCGCTCTTCCCTTTTTTCTCCTATTCATTGGCCCCGGACAGAGGAGATGAGAGAAAAAAGAGGGGGGGCGGAGCGAAGCCGGTTGGCGGAGAAAGAATAAGCTATGATTTAATTAGCTTTATTTTACCGGATAGAGCAGATGACTTTTCATCGCTCCGTATTTTACCGCTAGCATCCGAAATTTTAAATGAATTTTTTCCATTTTTTTTCAATGTGTAATCTCAGAGCATTTCAGGATTAAAATTTTGAGTTTTAGATAGCATCCTGAATAATGAATACATTTTTTTCTGGCGTCTTGCGGTTAAACTACTTTCTCCCGTTATAATGTTTGATTTGAGTCTTGAAAATTTTGATACAAAAAGGAATAATGTATTCCTGACTTAAATAGGGAAGAAATGCCTCAAAAGTTTCATGAAAAGCCTTATAATGATACGTTTTTTCACTGGATATGTTTTCCGTCCCACAACTTTTTCTAAGAATAACTTTCACAGTATAAATTGCGCAAAAAAACTCTTTTACTTCTGCTGATTTTTTCTAATAAATTATCACTAATTCCATTCCACCCAAACCCGTCCAAAAATAATGATTTCTTTTTGTGTTGTCCTCTAGATAGCGGTTTTAGAGAAAATTCTTTAAAAAACTCTACATTTTTGTTTCTTCTTAAAACATTTGAAACTGTAGGCGGCAAATTTGGCATTGAACTCTCATAGTTGGAAAGAAATCATTGTCAGTGTAGCCATTGGTAAAGTCATAACTGAAGCTGTAGACTTCAAGAAACGATACCTGAAGCTTATCAAACCAGGTAGTGTCATAAAAACCTACATACGACTTACGAGGTGAGATCTTCTCATATCCTCAACAAATATTTACATTGGTGCATTTTTCAAGTGTCCGATGCAACACTTTCAAAACGCATTGATATGTGCGCCCACTTGAAAAAGACGGGGAAGAAGGAGACAAGGAAAAAGTAAGAATATTGAATTGCGAGAAAGAATTGAGCGTTCAGGCCTTGACTTTGGCCTATTTGAAATCTATCTTCGACACGTCTCCTCGGGTTTGTTTGCTTTTTAATTTAGATAAAAGAAAAGCAACCATTATTTCGCGACGGATCAAGAAGTTTGCACTTGATAGATGTGTGTTGCTAAGGAGAAACGCCGTATGGACATTGAGATGTTGTTGGCAGTCATCAGCACAGCATTGGCTCGCATCTCATCGTTAAGTAAAAACATTTTTTTTTCTAGGCTCCCTTTCTCTAGGTGCTTGTTAATACCGCGACCGTTCTGAGTTTTATCCACTTACTGTCCTAGGTTATAAAACGAAATAAAAACGTATATTTTCGCAGCAGGTGCCGTTTTTCATTTTGTTTTATAACCTGAAAATGAGTGGTAAAACATCCCTGGTTAGTCAAAGAAATCTACAGAATGTATAGAAAATCCTGCAAGAAAAAGGGATTTTCCATAACAATTAAAATTGTGCCATTCGCAACTGTTCCCTCAAAAAACTTTGCCAACTCGTAATGCGGTAAAATTGTCGTTTTCACTTGAACCCTCATTAAAGTCTTTGGTGGGATGGGCACGGGAGAATTTTTTCCCGGTAAAGTGAGTCAACGCAACGGGAAGATGGGAGAGAGTTCACACGGATAACTGTGGGCTGGGACAAAGAGAAGATGCAGGGTTAAGGGGTCTGAATCCGATGGAAGTGCCAGGGAACAAATTAGATTAATTAATTTGGAACTCAGCAATCAATACAAGTCACCGCCAAGCCGCCTAGACGTATTTGATCTGAGTGCATGGACAGGAGCAAATCAGTCACAGTATGGCTTATGTTGCAGGATTGTGCAACTCGTACTTTTTCAAAAACAACACACTGTTTTATGATTCTTAAGGAACCCTAGTCGTGATGACCCCTAAAAAGCAATTTCCAAAAATGTGTAAGAAAACACGTTCGTTTAAGAAAACCCTGTGTGCATACTTCCTAACGTAAAGTTTAGCTATTAGCTATAAAGTTTAACTATTTGTGATGTTTACGTAGAAAAGTCCCTTAAGAAATTGACCCGCCCCTTTTTACAGCATTAATAAAATATTTTCCAAAATTTTGAGTGTCGTTAACTATCGTTCCCTGAACCAAGGTCCCTAAAACGAGAATTTTAACAGTTTTCTCAAAGAGGTGGCTTTCTAATATGGCCCTAGAATAAATGTCTTTTGCTACACGGAGGATGTCTTCTGGCCTACCTAGGAAATTGAAGGCAAAACGGAAACAACGTGACATCTTTACCATCTGCAAGTTGGTTTTACCTCTTCCAAATCATTAGGACAAATGAAATCGATAGCTAAACTCCAAAACCGATTTTCTCCTAATGCGAAATTTTGAGTTTCCACTTACGTTGATTTTTTTTAAAAGAACGCTAACCAACAAACTTGCCTCAGAAAAAAGCATCAAATTATCAGATACGTCCTTATCCTCCGACCACATTCAACCGAACCTCTCGAATGGCTGGCTATCCACGGATCATGGATTCCGTTCCGGGCGGCTTTTATCGCATTTTAAAAGCCCTCGGCCGGGACTTGAGCGGGCTTTGTATCGCATTCCGGGGGCGCCCAAGCCCCGGCCGCGCGACACGCCGCAATTTGTCGGCCCTTTAATTGAGGCTACTCCAAACACTCCCTTTTCGATTCCAATCGGATTCCGATTAGAAACTGCATTCGCAGAGCCGCCCCAGATTACCCCCTTGTTTTCCGCTAAGAACGCCTCCTCCAACCCCCTCGCCCGCTCCCCTCTCAGGCCGCCCGGTGACGGACATTTAGTTCGCATCAGTAATCGATTTATCGGACTTGGGATGTTTGGTGATTTCGGGGTGTGTTTTATCCCGGTCTCATGTCCCGACTTCCTTGATGACCGTTTAACCTCGTGCGATGGCGAAAAGGTACCTGCGTGTGCTATCGATGGCGATGTTCAAAGAAAGCAATGAAAGTATCAGAAGTTCATTAAGTTCAAGAAAATATCTTCATCACAGTGATTCAAAAGCTTTAATTTTTAATTTTTTTTTTCCTGAAACAAAAAACCGATTCTGTGGCCAGCGCGACTGACCCATTCAATCCGAATCTGACCAGAAACGATATATTTTAGAGACCTCCCATTGTCGTCTTCCTTACAGAGTAAAAGTTACTTCGTAACCTATTAAGGTTACAGTTTTCTTGATGAGCATGACACAGTAGGCAACTATTCGCACTCCATGGTCGTCATTTGCATTACCGGATATTTGAAGGCGTTCCCTAATGCCATGCAAGGCGAAACCTCCGCAACTGTCAAAAATCTCACATTGCAATTCTGTTTTCCATGAGGAGAGCAGAGTAGGCAACTATTCGCACTCCGCGGTCGTCATTTGCATACTCGGCAAATTGAAGGCGATTTGTAAGACTGTTTAGAGGACTCGATGTACAATTGTACATGGATAGCATACCTCACGCAAGTCAAAACAAAATTATCCGGGAAAATGTCCAAAATCCTTCGGAATATCTTCAAAATCTTCCGGAAACATTCTCGATTTGCAAATCATCCGGAAAATTCTTGATTCGCAAATCTTCCGGAAAATTCTCGATTTGCAAATCTTCCGAAAAATTATTAATTCGAAAATCTTCCGGAAAATTCTCTATTTGCAAATCTTCCGGAAAATTCTCGATTTGCAAATCTTCCGGTAGAGTATCCGGGAAGGGAGAAATCTCCCGATTTCGTATAATTTCCGAAAATAATTTTTCCCGAAAAACGGGAGGCCTGACGGATAGAGCGATAGAAATGGGAGTTACCTGTGTGTAGTCTGGTATGTTGCTGGACATGGCTGAGTTGCTTGAATCGTTTGTCGCAGTAGGTGCATTTGTAGGGTTTTTCTCCGGTGTGGACCCGGATGTGCTGGACGAGCTGGTGGTTGGAGGAGAAGCTCTTGAGACACTGCTGGCACTGGTGCGGCTTGGTGATCTCCAGGCCGCCCCCGCTCAGCGAGGACGCCCCGCCGACGCTGCCCGCTCGGTGCAAGTCCCTCCCGTGCTGCATCAACATCGACTTCTGCATCAGAAACTACAACAAACCACCCGAACCTGGATTAGACTCCTTCAAACACTACGAAACATGTCACAGTAACATGAAAATCCATCTTGAAAGAATGACATAATGCAAACATGCATAGATCTACACTGAAAAAAAAAATTCTCGGCGTTTTTACCAAGGTCCGTTGGTACCTTTACCATCTCACTTTTTTTTACCAATTATTGGTAATTTTACCAAGACAGACTGGTAAGCTTACATTAAAATTGGTATTTTTACTGTTTTTCAGGTAAGAATACCACTTTTATTGGTAATAATCAATTCCCGGTAACTTTGCCATTTTATCTCGGTAATTCTACCACAATCGATAAAAAATATTGGCGTTTTTACCAAGGTCCAGTAAAATTACCGAGAAAGTTCAATAATTTTACCGAGACTTCTCGGTAAAATTACCAATTCCATAAATGGTAATTTTACCAAGAAAAAACTGGGATCAAATAGAACCCTGAATTCTTGGTAATTTTACCCTTTTCTTAGTGAATACACAAATATTTTTTTTTCAGTGTAATGAGAAGAGTTAGTTAACTAGGAAAAGCTTAAAAGAGGTATTCATCATCGGCCTTGTCTCAAAGGGATGTTTCGTGGGATTTTTCCCAGGGAAGAATCTCACATGCTAAGTTGGGAAAAATATTGAGTTGCGGTCAATTTCAATCACAGTACGAGTTTCAATTTTCTCTCCGACTTTAGGTTCCTTGCAAATTCGAAATTTTAAATATGTAATTCTCGAAACAGCAAAAATTGCGCTTATGTGCCTTGTCCTTCAAGCCCCTCAATTTGTGTCGAGATATTCATATTTGAACGTAGCACGGCTATCAAACACAATTAAAATACTCCTCGAGAGTTAAATTTATGGTCATGCTGACCACAAATTCGTTGGAATAAGATGATTATCATTTTTCTAGGAAAAACGTCTAATTATTCCGAAATCGTGGATGAAAAATTATCAAGAAATATTTATTTAAAAAATGTCATGAAGTTTCATCAATTTTTGCATGAGAATAAGTGCGTATTTGAACCGATGTAAATGAGATGTGGACATGCGGGAAAAACGTAATGCCATGCAAAAAATGGCAATCTGCGGTGCAATATGCAATGGTTTCTCGAGCCGCGGCGGCAGTTAAAAGAGGGAGACCCAACAGTGGCGAAGCGTGATGATCGATCAGCGATATTTCCCCATTTAAGGTTGTGGTAAAGAATCGATTATAAAGGTGTTCGTTGGGAACACCCTGTGTATCGATCCTTTCCCATAGGTTCAAACCGTAGACCAATCGATACATCGCAAAGTGCGCCACGCCACCGAGACCCAACTAACGCCGCTAGTCACAATCAGATGGCTGAGGAATCGCGATCTCACCTTCCGCCTGGATATCTCCCCGGCTCTGCTATTTTGAAGATAAATTCTTTAACACGATTTGACCCCAGCCTTGTCAATTGAATTATCTCTACCCCCGCTCGGCCCATTCCGTGTGTATTTGCAGCCCCTCCGCCCCCGCCCGCGCCTTTTTATTTTACAGACTCCCGGCTCCTTGGGAATAATGAGTGGTACATTCCAGACTACTAATTAAGACCATTTTCACGAGGCACGACTTTCCTCTAAATCTCTTCATTATATCATTTTTCTCTTCCCTCCCCCGCCCCCCTCCGTCGGGGGAGACTGCAAATCATGTGTTTGCGCTGAAATCAAGGGAATAATTAGTACTAGGATACGTTTTGGAGCGGATTCTTTTTTTTTTACAGCGTGAATTGCGATACATCGATTGTTTTGCCATTTAAACTTATGGTAAATAATCGATTATTAAGGTGTTCGCTGCGAACACCCTGTTTATCGATCCTTTTCCGTAGGTTTAAATGGCATAACAATCGATGTATCGCAATTCACGCCACGCCACTGGTCGAAACGGCTTAATTAGAATGGTCAAACTGATTAGTCCGAACAATGAGATCGTCGCGTCGCGGTGAAACTGAATATTTTAGGTCAGGGGCTCTGAGCTAGCGCCACTCCATTAAAAAGGAAAGCTTCTGGACCCCGGCACGAATCCTCCGGTCCGTTTTCTCGATGATGGAATCGCTCGATTCCGCTCGGATCGCCAGGATTTATCGGAGGAGGAATTGGAGTGATGAGATTAAACATTCCGAAGCACGCGTTTTACATAAAAACGGAAAATAGAAATTTCTATTTTTTAATAACTTCTTTTCTTTTTTTATTAAATGATGGAGCTGTGGTACTCTCCTCACTCACAAAAGAGAGGGTAAGAATGTGTTATCAAGTTGCCTCATCATCGAAAAATCTTAGAAGAATGCTGAATTGAAGTTTAGACGTTCGTTTTTCTCTTCCGAAATTTAAGCTGCGATACAATTTTTCTGAGAATAAATTTGTCGTGTGCTGCATGCACAATCAACAACCCTTCCGGACAAAGTTTTATGTGGACTATTTTGATCAAATGGAAATGTACCCAGTTTAACATGAGACCTGTTATGTATGAACTCTTATGGATCCTAGGGCTCATGTTAGAATGGATCCTTCAGATTTAAATGCGTACTTTTATGCGTGATCGTCCAACAAAAAGCTACCTTAAGATCGCTCCAATGCGGAGCAATAATTGCATACTACTTGAGCTCATTTTCAAATGTATGAAAATGTGTAAATCGAAATTGGAATAAAATCCAGGTGCTCTAAAGCAGAGGCTACGGTTTCAGCCCACCAAGGCCGAAGGTTTCAGCATGGAGTGACAGAGGGTAAATATCGAATGAGGCTGGGCCAGTGGCGTGGCGTGCTTTACGATATATCGATTGATCTGCCATTTAAATCTATACAAAAGTATCGATAGACAGGGTGTTTACAACAAACACCTCAATAGTCGATACTTTACAAAGGCTTCAAATTGGGAAATATCGATAATCGATCATTGACGCCTCGCCTCTGGGCTGGGCGTTGGACGAAAACCTTCGGAGGAATCGGACCGAAGAAAAAAGAGTATCATTTAAAATCGCCGAAACGATTCTTCAATGAAAGTAATTGTTTTGCCGTTAAGTTTCGACAAACAAGCATTAATGATGATTAATCTTTCCTTTCAAGAATCGGGACTCGAAAGTTTATTCCATCATTTATTTTTACATTTTTCCCCTTTTTTCCTCGGTGCTCCTCGGGGCGTCTTCGTTCTCGCGCCGAGTTGGACGTTTAAATCAAAAGGAGCTGTGTCCATCCTGGCACGAGCCCTGAGATCCGTAAGGATACACGCATGGCAGGGATCATGTCAAAATGGACATAGCTCCCTTTGAATCCAATGCGGCCAGATTCGAGTCGCGAACTTGGTTGTCACGTCGAGTTGAAATCGAGAACACCTCAATAGACGACGCAACAGCAACAATGCCATGGGTTGAGTTTTTCTGGTTTCAAAAGAATTTTTAGCATTACCGAAATTTTTTTTGAGTTGAGTCAAAAACCGGAGCTCCAGTTTCGCAAAAAACATGTTGCGAGCGTCCCTATTCTTTTCTGCGATGAGAAAAATTTCTTTCAGAATCAGCAGTTCTTAAAAATATGCAACAACAGATTTTGCATTTAAAAAAATTAGGAACCTCCTTTTATTTCAAATAGTAGTCCTACTATTTAAAAGAGACGCTCGGTTGCTTTAAAGAGCGTCGGCGCTTGATACAACGAGAGTTTTGCAAAACATTAAAATTAAGACGGATTAATGTCATGACGGGGTGGAATTTGTACGTAAAAAAACATAATTTAAGAAAAATTATTTATTAAAAGGGCTGTTTTTGTGAAAAAAATGTTCACCGTAGAATATGAACATTCATAAATAATTTGTTAACACCCTGCTCGTTTGATCCACGGATCCACCCCCAAAATACGATTTCCCGGTGGCAAGAATGGCAAGGTTGATTTGCGGAGTCCCCGGTCGCTTGACTAGCAACGCGTTGTCACATTAAAAGATACATAAATAAATAAAACCCCTTTTTCCCCTTTTTTCGAAGCTGCGGCCGTTGATGAATGGGGGAGAGCGGTCGGGGAAATTGTCTCGAAGCCGCGGTTTCGGTTCTCTTCTTTAATACCATTGACACGTTCAACCCAGTAAGTGCCACTTCCCCCGTCCATTTATTCTCCCAAGATCCCTGTCTCCGTCCCTCCCTCAATTTTTTAACGCCCGCCGTTCCCTCTTTTTTACAACTCCTTGTCATTTCGGAGGTTTCCCCGCTCCGTATTATTTTCCCGAAGGGATAAAAACATTTTTGTCGCTGCATTTTCATTAAAACATATTTCCTCCCCCCTCGCTTCGCGAGATATCTTTGCGCCTCGTTTTTTTCTCGCCCGCAACACCTGCTTACTAATCAACTAAAATTTTTCCCTCACTTTTTCTTTGAAAGTGTCGCCATTAATTTCGAACGGCTGTGGTTCCGTACCTGCCATTGTGCTCTGGTGGTAAGATTTTTATCTTTTTGGGTTTTTCTTGGTTTCCGCCGCTTGCAGTGTGTTTTTCTTCACGCCTTTCCGTGTTTTTTTCTTTTTTTCGCAACGGGAAACAGAATTTCTTTGGGATTGATTTTTATTTTCACGACCGGAAAAAACTACCCCAATCACTAAACTTTTATTGTTCTTGAAAGTCGATATCAATCAATTTTAAGTGATTTTTAAATATCAATGACCAATGTATCTGCTCAAGCATGATTGTCACCAAAAATTATGCCATCTACTAAATCAGATACTTTTGTAAATCCTGTTAAAATTAAAATTAACAACATCTAGATCCAATAGCGACTGAAACTCTATGAAATGGCTCGGAATAGATAAGACACTGGATTTATAACAGCAGGTTAAACTCAGATTCCACCGGTGGCAACCGATAAATCAAGAGACTTCGAGGCCTGTCGATAAGGCAAAAGCCAAAGAGAGCCCCACGTTATTACACCTCAACGCCTGGATTTGACGCTAACGTGACCCGCCAAGCACCGGCGCATCATAGGTGGCT